CATCTCATGGACATGAGTAAGAGACAATGATTGTCGCTGTAAATATAGCAAGTTAGATTAAATAGCTTAGAACAAAGCATATGTGGTACACTGTTTGTGCTGAAAATGTATGGTATTATGACAATAAGTGTGTTCAAGTAGTCAGTGGGAATGAGAGATAACCTTAGTGCAAGTTATGTCAAATATGTCTTGTGCTGTCATGGACAGTATTTTTTCTCCTAATTCAGCAGAGATAGATGCTGTGGTTGTAGCAGTATTGTCAATAAGATCAAGTTGGAAGCTACAACTGAAATGAAGTGAAGTTTCAAATATGTGTATAGTATATGCTATATTTTGTAGAAAGTGTAATTTAGACTTCAAAAGTATAGTACCGAGGCACTAAGGTTGTTTTCCGATTGCATTTTGGACAGTCAAAATCCTTTCTATCCTTTGTGCGCTTCTTCTGTTTGCAGCCTGAGCATTCAAGCACACAGAATTCTTGGAATTCATCTAATATGGCCATCTCTGCTTCAACACAGAACACTCCCATCTGTGCGCAGTTTTGATTATTTAGGCAAAGCTACAGAATGAGAAACTGAATGAGGAAACTCTCAAATGAGCAACGTGAAGTATTACTTACAGAAGGCGCTGATGAGATTTATGCAATAGAGAGAAGTTGTTGGCCAGCAGTAGTGACTATCATGGGAGCGGTAGATGAGCTTGTGGAGGTTTTATCTGATGGACAACTTAACAACATTGTTTTGTTCTCTTTTGCCCTATTGTTACAACAGATAATATGTTTAGTAGCTTGGTTAGATGTAATTTAAAGCTGTACAATAAATATGAGATGTCAGTACCAGTTGATGAGTGCCACTGCCTGTGGGTAATTAGGATTTACACGTACTATCGAATTGTACCTAGTCTGCAGTGACAACCCTGTATAACACATAGGTTGTATATTGTTTTGTTATTATATAAAATTATGTTGGTAAGAAGTTGAGCACATACGTACCTTGATAAGTAGAGATTCTTATACTCCTTCCGAGGATTACAAGCAGATCTGCCTATGTTGCCATTTTTGAGGAAATTTCATGTCCTTCTATTTCTCCAAAATCCTCCCATAGAGTGAAGAGAAACTGATTTTTCCTAAGAGTGTCAGAACAGAAGGACAGAAGAGTAAGTACTATGATAATGCTTAGACGATAATTGATGATGTGAGTAGAGAAATGCAGAAAGTGGGTACTCATTAAAAATATTTGCAGAAAATGGGAAACTACAATGTCAAATGTGATACTTACTGATTGTCACAAAGGGTAATTTCTCGACACCTATGATGACTGCGACCGGCGTTTTTTTGAGGACCACAGCGAAGAACGATTGCTAATATATCTGTGTATATAGTACATAATGAAATGTTGCAAGTCTTCTGCAGCAGTAAAGATGTATATTTCAGTCTGGTAACAACTAGTACGATGGATGTACCTATTTCAGCAGCAGAATCAACCATTAGATGAGGAATGTGGTCAAAGCTAGTGATATTCAGCTTGGTTGGCGGTGGAAGTGGTTTTTCAACTTCATGAGATGCTTTGATTTGTTCAATTACTGTTTCTTTGTCAAGAATCCAGTAAAATTTATGTATTGGCTTGCCGTATGAAGTTGGTGAGACTTTTCACTTTTGCAGTAGAGATGAGGTAGGTATTGAGGAGTTTAAGCGTAGCTGCATACTGCGCGATTTCGTCAGTGTACATAACTGCCTTAATTTGGCATTCCTGAAAGTAAGAGTTGTAGAAAGTTGAGATTAACTAAGTTGAGAGGAAAAGAGCAATAGTCATAACGTAAAATATAATAATGAGCTGACCTCTTCATCTTCCAAAATTAAATTTTGGAATGTACATTTCTTGTCAAGGCTTTCTCGTGGGCGGCCTATTTCGACAATTTGAATTTTGGAAATCCAATCTCGTGTTGCTGGTTCTATTTGATCGATGTTCACTCTAAGTACCATGTTTGTAGGAAAGATAGTTAACCAAATAGTAGTATCTGCAGGATAACATGAATATTAAGTCAAACTACTTGCTTTGTTGTGTTTTTATGAACAGGGCTGATTAAATTAGGGATATGCAACATTCTTTCATTTGTTTAGACAAGAGGAAAGAAGGAATCAAATACAAGGAGCACTGTGGAGTAAAATGCACCTTGTAGCTGCATAAATGAGCTTTTGATGTAGTAACAAAGCACTAACAAACTCTTGTAAAAGCAAGTTAGGACATAATAAACTTTGTATGTTCCCAAAAAAAACAAATAGAAGAACAAATGAAAAGGAAAAGAACAGTGTTGTCATAGTACAAGTAGAGTCATGTGTAAATCTGTTAGGGCCCTTTAGTGGAGCTCACTGAAGACATAAAATCAGTTTGCAGGCATTATTAATGTGGAAAGTACAGTTGGACAATTCTTTTTTTACACAAGATCTGTTACAGGGACAGAAAAAGTTGCAGAATATTAAAACAGCAGCAATTATCTGTGAAACTTGAGTCAAACCACTATGCATTTGGGAAAAACAATATGAAAAACTTTACTGAAGCTAGTATATGATGGCTTATGTATGACCTAGTATCATGGAAGATATAGTTTGTACAAGAGACCTAATCTGTCACATTTATATCCAAAGGCACCATTTAGTCTTACTAAAAATGTTTCCTATTTTTCATAGAAAAACTCAATTTTCATGTTACTATTTAAAATGTCAATAAAAAGAAACCAAAAAAAAAGACAAAAGAAAACAGCTATGCTGCAGATATTTTGATCATGTTGGGTATGAAGCTAATAGCATACTGCTGGATCCATGGTATATCTATGAAAGATCGAATAGTATTGAAAGCATTAAATATGAGGCATCAAATAGGAAGCTCATAAGGGAGGCTATTACTTTGGGTTTTACATTTGCAATATCAGTACAAATGTAAGACCATAGTAATTGACGTCCAGCTAATAACTGTAATTTTGATGTATTTTGATTTTCTGTTTTGGTGACAAGCAGAATCTGGAAGAAAATTTGAAAATGGGAAGAGGGAAAAGATGAAAAGGGAAGAAATAATACCTGAGAAAGGGAGCAAAATATTTTTTCTTGAATGAAAGGCTATTAAATTTGTGTTGTATGAGTATAATATATATATATAAGGATAATATTATATATATAACAATATGTATTACCTTACTCTTATCTAATGTGTTAATATTTATTTTTTTGGAAATATAGAAATTATAAAGGACAAAAAAACTACATGTGTCTTCCTAGAAATTCATGGGGTTTTGGTTGCCAATGAAATTGTGCCAAAAAAGACAGAAAATCAGTACATTTGGCAGTCCAAAAAGAGACAAAATCATTACCTTTGACTACCTAATGTAATGAGTTTGTCTGTTTTTTGGCATTATTTCATTGGCAACCAAAACTGCATGAATTTTGAAGAAGACAGTTGTAGTTTAATTGTTCTTTCTAAATAAGAAATTTTTGTTTTATCTATCTATCTATATATGTATCTATCTATGTGTATATATATATTCTCTCTCTCTGTCTCTGTCTCTCTCTCTTTATTATTATATATATATATATGTATGTATGTATATATATATGTATCTATATATATATATACGCACACACAGACATGAAATCATATGTCATCTGGTTAGTATGGTAGCAAAAATAGTATAGGATTAGCATTTTGTTTCTATTGTAAAATTGAATGTAGGAACTGTTAGCGTAAAGCTAGATAATGCATTTCGCTAAAAGTAAAATACATTTGAATGCCTAATAAGTTCAGAAGCACACAGAGATCACTACTGCCTTTGGCTTTTCGTTTACTACATGCGAAACTTCAATCATACTCCTTGTAGGTTTCTCCTATAGCAAGGCAAATTCATTACTGTGTATTTGACATTATTAGGGACTCTAAATGTGAATGATTCGAGCCTATATGATTACGGGCAGAATTAAGTATACTAAGTGGAACAAGCTCTGCCATTGAGATGTTGACGTAACAGGTGATGGTTTATTGTGAAGGAACACAGTAGATTGTGGTGGAGTTATACTTTGACGGCCAGAGTCAGTGTTTGTAAAATGGAGAGCAGCAAGATTTTGGGGAAGAGCATGTGTTTGAGAAGAGTATTCTGGCTAGCGTAGTGGCAGAAGAGCTACCCTTTTTTCATTTGGTATTTTATGGTAAGAAATTGGGTTTCTCAGTTTTTTGGAATCCTTTTTGGTAGTAGCTGTTTCTTCAGGCAGGATTGTATTTATTTTCTGTTTAGTGGTACACAGCTGAGGGCAAGTATTTAGCGAAGTTCTTTTATTGAAGGTAATATCTTGTTGTTCAATTAGGGTCAGTCAACACAGAATAACAGAGTACAATGTAGATTGAAGAATACAACAGAACAGTAACAGAGGTAAAAAAACTATAGAGCAGGAAAATGTAGAAACTTACGTTTGTCAGTCAGAAGTTTGTTCTTTATTTCACCAGCTGAAGAAGTCTGAGTTAGAAAATCCTACATAAGGTCTAGCAAGTATGCAGTGTATTAGTTAAAACTATGCAAAAGCGAAGATTGAAAGGAAGATTGCATTCTTGAGACCACTCTAATTAACTAAAAGGTGAAATGACAGCTTACCAAGAGTAGAGCATATATTAAAAGGCACATATGTGGTAAAGGCGTAAATAGTAACCGTGTGTGAGGGTCAAGCATATATGTGGTTAATACATTGGGTAAAATTGTTGGATCTTCGGATTTCCCAAAGTTAACTGTATCTTTAGTGCAGAGGACCTGGACAAAGAAGATTGTCTCGTTGTTTCAGCTAAACTACTGTAGTTTATTCTGCAAATTAAGAAGTTGTTCTTTCCCGTTGAATTATCTTTCATTCACCTATTCACTACATATTTGTTATGGACATCGGCAATACAGAAATCTCAGAAGCAGTAAGACATAGACTGGAGTTTTCCTCTAGTTTGACATGACATATATACTGCAAATCAATACTAAGTAAGGCAACTAACAAAAAAATTGACTGACATTTGCGCATTAGTACAGGGAACAGGTACAGTATATTACATTGATTTGCTTAGAGGGCATTACCTTTATATCATATAACCCATTTAGGTATAATGACATTTGATAAGAGCCCTTTTGTTCCCACTGAAATGAATATAGAGAGTAGAAGAGAATGACCAAATATACAGTAAGATTTGCTTTTGCAAAAGGACACGAACTTAGTAGGCAATTTACTCCTAATAAGCTAGAGGCTTTTCTCATCACAACAATTGGTTTGAGTTAATGATTTTATAATATGGGTATGTCATTGATTGCACTGTCTATAATTCAAAAGTCATTTTGATTTGATAAGAACTACAAGAGAGCAAACAGAGATCCAACTAATTGTCCAGGAAAGAGAGTAAAATGAGCAGAGCAAAGGCATGCAGCATACCTTTGTTATCTCGGAAGATGGATGAACTCCAAAGAAGCTTTGCATATTCACAGATGTAGAGGAAGAAAGAAATAACAGGTGGCAGCTGCAATGGAGGTAGCAAATAGGTGTCAACAGAAGAGAGCCTTGAGTTGTTGTAATGTTTAAATGACGTGGAAACTGAAAAGGCAAAATAGAAGTGGCCTTAATTTTTTATCTATTTACAGAAGTAGCCTTAAACGTACAGGTGTAAGGAATTTATTGATTTTGTCGGACTGAGGAAACCCTAAGTTATTAAGAATGGCAATTTACTCCTAACAAGCTAGACACTTTTCTCATGAGAGCAATTGCTTTGAGTAGATGATTTTATAATATGTCTATGTCATTGATTGCACTGTGTATAATTAAGAAGTCATTTTCATTTCATAAGAACTACAAGAGAGGGATTATGAAAACAAATAGAAAATTGTGGTACCTGCTGCAGTATTGGTACTTCAGCATCTACATTAGCGATGAGGTGCCAGTTGATTGAAGCAGTGCGTACAATGTCATTGTTGCAGCAGTTTGCAGTTTGCGTTTACTTTTCAATTAATGTTATGTGATACAATGTAAAGACCCTATGCTCTTCCATTAAGGTGAATCTGCAATGAAGTATGGTTGATAAAGTTTGTTAAATGAAGAATAATAAATTCCATAGAGAACGAAGAGCGTTGGACTCTTCTGTTGATACACTATGCAACATATAGAACCAAATACGTTGGTCAATTTACATAGAAAAAGGATTGATATTGTGAACACAGAACCAGAAGGATTGATATTCTCAGCTGTGAAAGTAAAACAAGTTCAAATATGGGTTGAATGGCAGAAATAAAAACAGAAATGTAGGAATAAGCATGAGAAATCATATGTACCTGCTTGGTGTGACTGGCGTCTTTTCTTTTGTAT